GGCAGGTGGGAAATGAAACCAGTCCTAATGGCTATAATGATTTTCTGTGAAGGCCCCAGGCCTCATTTTGTCTCTGATAGCAATATAATCTTTTATAGCGTCTGTGAAGTTTCCTAATAAGTAAATGTTCCTTTTGCTGGTGGTTGAAGATGCTGTACAGGTGCATCATGAAAGTGCATTGACAGACTGTCAGGTTTCAATTCAAGACCTCTTGTCAAGATCATTTTACAAGATATTTCAAAGGAGTATACAAGAAATAAAAAAGCAATGTAGCGCTAGCAGGGATTTGGTAATAGATTCCCTTGCTGTCTGGGAGCTGTTAGGGATATATGTTGCATCATTGTTCCCAAATTCTTTCAACTCCACAACTAGCAGTGCTTGCAAAAGTGGCTTTAGTTGGGCAAGTGAGGCAGGAATGAAGGGTGAAGGACAGAGAAAGAGCAGCTCTTCCAAAATATTTTCCTTAAATCCAGTCTTTCCTTGATCCGTCTCTGTCTTGATTATTTTTCTAGAACTGGAGTTGGGATTAAAGTAAGGACAGGAGGAGAAAGATTCGTTCATCACCTGCTAAAATTGCAGAGAACCTCCCTTTTTCCGTGATTTGGTATTTCTAGAAGTTCCCAATTTGTTTAACTTCTCTAGGGGAAAGAGAAGCACTGCACTTCCCTGCAGCTAATGTCTTCTGGTAGGGGAATAAACAAAATAAGGTGGCCATGGGGACATCACTGAAAAGTTAAACCGCAGTAGCAGGTAGTCAATTTTTTATGTAGGTAGGGTTGTCTCTTAGACAGTGCCCTAACCCCTGTTACAGTTCAGGTCGCACCTGAGTTACCAACATTTAAACTTATCCTTACAAACCCCTGTGAATTACTCTTCCTCTGTGTTTTATAGATGATACACACAGACATTGATATGTGGGATTTTAAACTGGATCTGAATGACTTAGTCAAGTCTCACAGCAGTCAGTGTTGGAGACAGGACGCTGACGCTCTGGGTCCTTTCTTGCTCTGCGCAGACCAGCACTCCACCCTGTATAGTTTCTGCCATGAAGGAGATGGTACATTTTAGCACCATGTTACCCTTTCTAATATATATTTTACTATGCTCCCCCTTTGCTTCCTTCTCACAGAGCCTAAACCAGAAATTATTAATGGTGGTCAGAAACGGAGTATTGACTTGTTTTCTGTGATGAATGTGGCAAGGTATATGTTGTTCTGTAATACAAACAAATGTCTTAATATGGCAGTTTCTCACTATAGCGTTTATTTCATTGCCTGTCTGACAGCTGTGAGTAATGTGTTCCTACCCTTATATACTTATATACTCCTACCCAGATTCAGAAATCTTAAGCTCTTTTCATAATAGGAACGTCTATAAATATCTGATCCCACGGGGGACAGCAGAACTGTAGCTGACAGTAACCCCTTAAACCCCTCCTGAGTAACCCCTTAAAATCATCTTAATGGGAAGTTTAAAAGTTATGAATAACCCTATTAAATGAAGGGGAAAAATGTTTTACATTAAAACATACAGAGCAGATGCATCATTTGAGTAAGAAGCCAATGTGTCTGATTTAGAAATTTCATAGAAACTGAGTCAGTAGTTCAGAAAGAAGTGATCTCTCTTTTAAAGGTAGTCAAGCAATCCTGCTTTCCCCAAAGCAATTAGGAACACAAATTGTGTACATCGAAAAATACGTAGTGTGAAATATATGTTTGAAACAGCTTAGAAGTAAGAAGGTAGGAATATTTGCTATCCCCCAGCAAAGTTTTTGTCTGTTAGCTTTGGAACACAAACCCTGTTTTCCTCAGAAATGAGGCAGATATTACAGTTAGGACACACTTTTCCTGTTGGAATTGGCCTTAGAAGATCGTTTCTGTGAGTTACTGCAGGAGCTCCCAGAGCAGGCCCATATTCTTCTTTTCACATTCAGCTCAAGCCCTCTTTTTATTGATGGCAACCTCTGTTATCGTTCTTGCCAGAGACACACATTTCTAATAATGCCAGCTTAGGTCAGCTTAGATACTATGCCAAGAATTGTATACCTAAAAAGTAGGGCTTCTATTCATTTATACTACATTAAAAAAAGTGTTCATTCACCCTTTATTCTATGAGCAGACAACTAAAATGGACAGATATTCTGTGAGTCTCTGTTTGCTTATGTTGTAGTATGACCTCAAGGCCCAGGAAGGTCTGGTGTGGCCTTGTCCTAGGGTGAAAAGGGCTGCAACAGAATGCCGATTTCAGCTAGGGAAGAGAGTATATAACCTGCCTCATTTCTGGAAGAGGTTACCCCTGTTAAGTCAAGACAGACTTGACATTCTTCCCCCAAAACCTGGTATCATGCTTCACTGTCACCATTAGAAACGTGTTCCTAACATTGCACTGGAGTCTTCCAGTCCAGTCCACTTGGGGCATGCAGAGTTGACCATCCCGCCCATCCTTGCGTCAGCCTTTGGAATAGGACAGTTTACCATGTACCCCTCGGTTCTTTTCTTTTTTCACATTAAACAACCCCAACTCGCTGAGTCTGTAATTAACAACAGTCCTGCCCCGAGCAGCTTGGTAGTGGGCCTGATGAGCCTGATGTCATTACTTCGCCATGACAATTTTCTAACTTGCTCCATGTGATATTCCATCTGCCTAACACTATTAAATTTTTTTATGTAGTCCTTATTGTAGTTGCTGAGCTCTCTGCAAGCATCAGAGGGCAAAGGGGAAGTGCTGTTATCCCCACGGTGGCACACACAGACTGTGACCTGCCAAGGTCACACAGTGAGTCTTACCAGAGATCAAATGTAGGGCTCTGAAGTCCTTGGCCTGCTCTCTGGCTGTGTGGTTTGTTAATGGAGAGAATCAAGATGCTGCTGAAGTGGCAAGCACACAGGGAAGGTATGAAATCATATGTGAGAATTTTATTATTTTTTAATAAAAGCTCACTTTATTTTTAATAAAGGCAAGATTATGAGCATGATACCCCTGAAAAAAAACTAGCAAAGGACCACATTTTTCTTTGGTTCCTGTCTGAAGTAATTTAATAACTGCACAATTACTCCTCGTTGTTAGCCAGACATAACTGAGAAGCCGCTTAATCCTTGTGCGAAGTTTGAAGTGAAGTTCTGTTTTATAAGTGTTAGGTTAAAGCACTAGCACATGAGTAGGGAACCTAAAGTTAGTGGTCTTCAATTTCATTTCCTAGAAGCCTGCTGCCATGTGATTTGCTTTCTACTTTTTATTAAGCAAGGTGTGTGTTAATGGATGGCCCACCAATGGCATCTGAAAGTCCTATCTGGTCATCAGCAAAGTATTCCTGTTTTAGCCTTCAGACAATAAAATGTCTGAGGAACAGATTTTTTTTTTTTTTAACCACTGCATGTGCACACAGTAATTCAGATTGAGGTTCTTATGTCTGTGCTGTAGGTAAATGTGTAATAGGCTTTTGACACTTTATGAGTGTAACCATTCTGATCACAAAAATATCATAAGAAATTAATTCAACTTAATCTGCTTTTGTTCTTTAAAAGGCTGTGCAGTGAGAGGGAGAGAGGAAAAGCATCTTAGTTTTTATTTGAGAAGATTGCACTTGGCCCCAAATTAACTCCTAAACCTCGATCCATTTAACTCACCAAATGTTTTGCTGTAATGTGCAAATATTATATTATAAAATCTCTTCAAAAGTCAATTAAGAAACTTTTAAGCAAATAAACATAAAATAAAGGAAAAGGCATTGGAACTGTTACTTATCTGAAATCTCCACAAAAGGTATGCTAGCTTAATTTGAGCCAGGGGAGCTGCATGGAGATTGTGTTTAACCAGAAATGCTGGCAAAAATATGCTTCCGTAGAGCCAGAACCACATGTGGCCATTCCAGTTTAATTGTGCTTGTTTTAAAAGATGGGGCTTTCACATTTACCCTATCCATGCTTGCTGTCTCTTTACGAACTGACAGTAAAAGCTCCCCAGGCTAAGAAGCAAACGTAAAAATAATTCATCTGAGTCAAAAGCAAAACCTGTGCTGAGTCTGCCCCATGCATTTTTTTGAAGCCATAAGAAGGTTTGACTTGCCTGCTATTTTTTGTTCCCTTGAGTCCCCAGGCCACTAACCCGGAGAGGGAGTGTTTTGATACCGAATGTGTCTCCCGGGTGAGGTCAAAGGCAGTGGCAACAGTGCTACTGGTTGGAGGGCAGGCGCTACGAAACCTAAAAGCACGTTCAACAAAAACAGAAGCATTAACCACCGCCCCACAGCTCAGTGAAATCCAATCCCACCATTAGGCAAACATGAAAATGAGATCCCAGAGGAAGGAAGGTTCAGATGTTCAAGGCCAAAGAAGTGGGGTGAGGAAGACTGCACAACTAGATGGAAGATGCTGCAGACAGAGGAGGGCGAGAGGGAGGTGGCCAGTTCATCAGTATGAGTGTTTCATACCACAAATTTGAACATGAACTTAGCAGTCAAGATGTTTGTTCCACATTAGAACAAACTAAAATGCTGTGTAATAATGATATCCTTTCAACATTCTAGTGACATGCTTGATTTGATATGATTTGATTTCCAGCGATTGCTTCTGATTGTCATGTTTCCAGCTTTGCTTTAACTTAGATATTTACATCAATGCTTAGATGCTCATGGGGAGGCTGAAATGTTACTGCAAGCTGAAAGAACTAAGCATTCACTCTGATTCAATGTAATCTCGTGTCAGAGGATAGCAGGTTTGCAGTACTGTAACTGAAATTGTTTCAGTGGGAATCAGATACCAAACTCATGGGTACCCAAGAAAATTCCAGCCAGAAATCCTGAATACTGGAGTAAGTAGCTGTGGGTCTGTCTGCCATAAGGGCTGGTGTGTGTGTCTTGCAGAGCAGGTGGGTGCACCAGTGCACCCTTGTTTTGGCATCTTTGCTGAGTCGTTTTCAGTAGGAAGCTGGAAGTGGGGGTATTGGCAGGATTGCACACTGTCTCAGTTATTGTTAAGTAAGTGCATTGCTTTTTTTCCCAGAACACACTCACAGCAGAAGACCGTTCTCCTGAAGCCAGCTTTACCCTGAACCCCGAGGACAGAAGAGAATACCCTGACCTCCAGGCTGCCCACCGGCCATTCCCTAAACAGAGATTCAGGCAGGAAAATGGGCATACGTCATTGCAAAGAGATGGACCCAGATCTTTCCTCTTGGATCTCCCAAACTTCCCTGACTTGTCAAAAGCAGATATCAATGGTCAGAATCCCAACATTCAGGTATATGTTCAAATTTAAGTTACCTTCTGATATTTGATGGGTTAGACAAATTATTTTACAGAACCAAGTAGGCTTTCAGTCGGGCTTCCCTGCAGCACTGTCATTAGGCACTGTTTCTCTACCAGTAACACCAAAATAATGTATATGCTTTTTGTCTAGGGGAATGCGCAAATTTCTTCTTTTTTTTTTCCTGAATTGCTGTTTGAATTTTATTGCTTGCCTAAGTTTAGGTATGGATATAGACTGCATTATGACAGTAAAGCCACCTTTGCTATTGCCATTTTAGAATATACTCTTTTCTTTGACTTTAGGTAAGTATTTTAAATTCTGTTTCCAGTTATCTGTTTTAAAATTTGTTTGTGAACAGATTCTCTTCTATTATGCTCTTATAAATTGTAACCATTCCCAAAGATTGTAGTATGTCTTTAAGTTCCAACTCAAAATGTGGTCCTCTGTATGGAACTTAAATGTTAATTCTGCAGCAGCTGCCTGGAGTTAAAAAAATAGTCATCTGTAAGAAACTTTGTTTTATGTTATTCCTCAAACTTTTTTGGTTTGGAATGGCCTCTTACAAGCCATTTATATCTTGAAACTTCAAGGATTAGAAAGAGGAAAAAATGAGTGATTTGTTTTTAATTCAGAGCCTTAAAGCAAAATTGGCATTAATAAGCAGTCTTTTTTAACCAAAACAATAAATTGAAATGTTGTTCTGCCTAAGATGTGCTTATGAAAACAAAGCACTAATAGAACTAGTTTTCTGGTTAAATAAATTTCTGGCTTGTCATAGACCCCCAACCCACAAAATTACCATCTTTTTGATACATCTAAGAGGTACGTACATACATACGTAAGATATAAAAGATGTATTTATGACAGAACAACATTATCAGGAGAGAACACGCTGTCTCGGAGTTGACTCCATTACTTCAGAGATGGCTTCCAGCACGCAAAAGTCTAACAGATTTGGATCAAGTGCTGGCCCAATGCTTGACAGGCCAAGGGAGTAAACATGTTCGACATGTGGTCACTTTACGTGGCCCACACGCTAGGAGAAGCCTTCCAGAAAGCCTTGGGAAGGGAAGATAGGGAAGCTGTAGGGGCCCCAAACTGTGGTGTGAGATAAGAGCCTAATATCCTTGTTTGTACACTATGTAAACCACAGAGGAGCACAGGAGGAAGCAAGAGCCTTCACTGTTTGCTAAGAGCACCTAATATTTAGACCTAAGGAATAGATAAAAGAGTGGAAGATGGAAACATTCCCTTGACTCGCCTTTGCAGCAACTGTTTGTGGCTATGACCTCTTCTTCCACCACCTGATGTTGGGCATGTGGCAGCCAGCTATGTCAGGGGTTTTGCTGAACTCCAAGAACTGGGAATCTAGACCTGTAAACTAGAAAGCATTGAGCAGCACTAAACACGGAGTTGCTATGTGCAAGGATCAGCCCTTTCAGAAATAGCCACCTTAACATTCCCATTATATTTAGTCTACTTACTAAGGTGTGTAAATAGGGATATATAGACCTTCTTTAGGCTCCTGATTTGGGCATTTCTGTAACAGTTCAGTCTTTACTGAGAGTTAATTTGTTAAGGGTTGTAAAAGGTGGTCTACGCTTTTGGGAGAAACAGGATTACAGTGTTGTCATTAAGCAATGCCTTATTTATTTGAATGGAAATAGTGACACTTGTTTACTTGCAAATATCTCATCCGCAGTTTGGCAGGTGAAAGTAGAATCGATGCTCATTTTTCTTTCTGGATATGGGCTTTGGATTCTACAAGTTGCAATCCTGGGGGAGTTAGTTAAAAATCCAAGTCTCAGGACATGACTTCACAGTCATATACACCAAATCTGTGGAGTTTTAACCTATTATGTGCATTGTAATATATAACATTTTGAAAGGGCTGAATAAGCAAGAGAATACAAACTCATTTTCTGCTAGCACCTACCCTTGGCATGTCATTTCCCATCCCAGACAGCTTTACCTCCAGCCCTGCAGGCGCTGTGTACAGTCAAGGGATAATTTGGACAGCTTCTAGTTGGGAAAAAGGTACCATCTGTGTAGAGGACAGCCACCTGGAAAGCTGCTAGGGATTTGTTTGGAAAGGGGATGAATGCCTGTGTATTTTATATACAGTAAAAAGGCCACATTTACCTCTTATAGACGCACAGCCTCTTTTCAATCCTACAAGTACAAACATGTGTAGACCAATAAGAATTTTGGAGTAAGGAAAATTATGCCTGGATATTTTTAAACTCTAGTAAACAGGCATAAAACTAAGCCTAAGAATGCAGTATAAAAAGATAGTCCAGTGAGTTCTCGATATGGCCCTTCCTACACTGGTTTTCTGTGAGGAGGTAATTGCTCTTTGATACCCTGGTTATGTGCTCTTTCAGGGAAGAAGTGGTGGACATCAGAACACAATCTCAGGAATTCAGGAAAATTAGCACATGCCCCAAGGCCACTGCTGCACTTATCAGGTGATAACTAAATATAAATATAATGGATTGTCTTCTAAAAAAGCTCAGAAACAGCAATCAGAGCTCCAGTAAACAAATGTCTCACACATCACCATGTGAGACAGGATGGCACTTGTCTTTCTGTGATATTCTAGCCTTGTAAAAAATTGTATTGTTTCAGGTTAGCACTGGTTTAGCACTGGTTGTTTGAGAGTAACTGCAGGAGCTCTTGATGAGCAAGGACTGGCTGTTTTGCTTCTTTGGAGGGTTTTTGTTTTGTTTTTGCTGTGTCAACTATTCTGTGAATGCCTGGAAGACTTTTGGAGGAGAAGATGATTACAGAAACTGTATTTTCTCCCAGTTGCCTCCCTCAAATGGAAAATCCTTTTGGTGTAGGTTTGCACTCATTTAAGCAAGCCCAAGAGATGCCTATGTGGGCCTGGCAATTAAGCAGGGTTAAGAATAAGAAAGAATTGTTTCTGCTTCTGTAAAGCAGAGTGAAATCATATAGGAGGTGTATAAGAAAAGGTTGTTTTCCACTTCCAATGGGCTTTGTTCTTCCCATCCAACAAGACTTTTACAGTCTTTCAGCAGTTCCCTAGCTCTGTGGCTCTTTCTCTGCTCAGAGGCTGATACCTCAGCTAGCAATTGAACCTTTGCTTTTGCCCCTGCCCTTTCATTTTTACTCATGGCTTTCCAGGCTTGAAGAAGGTGTCGTCCTGTTCTGTGTTGTCCCAGGGTTTTGCTGCTTCCCCAACAGCGCTGTCACGATATGCTGTATGGCAGTGTGGCATGCTCTGGAAAACCACCGCTCAGGGAACATGCAGAAAAACATAGTAACAACATAGTAAGGGATGTATTATCTGCTTTAAGAAAAATTACTGAAGGCTTTCCAAACCAACTCCTCCTCAGGTTAATCTATGCCAAATCTGGCCATCTCCATCAATACAGCATAGAGCATTTAACTTATTTCGTTGTATTTATTTTTCAGAGGTCATTTATAGCATTACAGGAATCTGCTTGTTTCACTGCATTGAAGAGCAACACTCTCCTGGTTTCATTTCTTAATATAATGAGAGGTAGCTATAGCGGGCAAAATTCAAATCTGGATTTGGGGGTCATATTTTGAACTTTAGGGTTCAGGAAGACCCATCAGAGAGCACTGCTCAGATTGACAGCCTGTAATACAAATTTGGATTCAGATTTCTCTCCCCTCACCCAGAAAACTTTGAAGTGTTCTTCACTTTCTTTTCAGACCTGCATAAACTCTAACCCAGTTTTCTGAGCCCCCAAAGCTGTTGTGAGCTGTAATGACATAACCAGAAATAAATTGGTATCACTACCGACAACATTTTAATTGAAGTCACGTAATGTGAAACTAAATATGTGATTTCCATGCCTTACAATGCTTTCCGTTATTATTTCTGTTCTGCTATTACACTTACCTTATTGCTGACTTGCACATTTCTACGCTTACCGAATGGCCAAGTTCTGCACTAAAGAATTGCATCAGTTATATGAAGGAAGCTGAGGATAGAAATGTAGTAGAATCTGCTGCTTGCACAATATCACAAATGTAGATCTTCCTGCAACATAATCTTCCAGTTGCTTAGGGCGATGTTTACACCATTAAAGTGACTTCAGAAACATTGTCTCGGTAAACAGGACGAAGTACGCAGAACTTCTTGTACACTCCAACAACGAGCATAATATTTATCTTCAGTATTTTTTTGGACAGAAGAAAACTGTATGTTGGTTGCTTAAGACATCTGTACTTGATACATTTGTTACATTAGAAATTTGTTGCAAATCTGTTGTTTTAATGTACCTATGCCAATTATTTTTACAATTTTTAGAGTTATTTATAATATCTCAGACTGCCATAAGAGAAGTGGCTTCATTTTAGGTTTTTTGAAGACTTTTGGAGATGATTGTACATTTATAGAAAAAGTATGCTCCCACAGGCACTTCGGGAAACATGACAAAAGCAGTTTACAGTTTTGATAATCACTGGAAGAAGAAATCAGTGAAAAGGAAACCTTTAAAACAGCCTCCATAATAAAAATACAAGACTTGGTCTATTTTACAATTTTTGAGAGGTTATATGGAACATGTTTTGTTACATGACATAGGGAAGCTTTCCAGAGCTGCTGTAAATGCCCTGTTTTAACAAATTTAGTCCTAGATCTGTTTCTTTGTAGTCATGGGCTAATGTTAAAGCTACCTGTGTGTGCTCTGAAGAATTTAGTGTAAGCTCATTTTTCAAAAGCAAAACAAGGAAGCTGGGGAAGCAATTGCTTGTCCAAGAAGCACTCTTTTAGGATTTCTGTCTTAACTCTTGGGTCATATTGTGGAGGGACTTCGAGGGTTCCCTCCCTGCCTAAGGAAGGTGCAGATCTAGAATTAGGAATTCCCAAGTCAAAGTCTTCAATGGTCTGAGTGGCAATTCAGGCAATCCTGGGATTCATTGACTTTTTTTTTCATGTTTTTAATGCCAAATGTTAAGCAAACAAACTTTTAATCAAGCCTAAAGCAAAGGAGCAAGGAGTACAGAGATATGTCAGACCACAATGAAAGCTGTAAGCTCCAGGTAAAGTAGAACCTTTTGTTGCATGCAAGAAGGGGAGGTTCCTCACCCCTTGGCTGCCACAAGGTAAATCCATGCACAAAAATTACACCTGGAGCATCTTTCCTTGTCGTGCCTTTGCTGGCCTAGCTTTCATGCTGCCTGAAACTCACTGGCAGGTTAGGTCCAGCCTAGAAGCTAGAAACTCCATTTTAAAGGCCCTCATACTAAGCCTGCTTGATGGTAACCATAGACTGAAGAGGGATACCTGATTGCACAGACATGTCTTGAAAGTCGGTTAGTGGCAGCGCTCATGGAGGCCTGAGGCTCTAAGCCTTTTGAGCCTGAAAGTTTGAGTCTGTTTCATTTCTCTGCTTCCCCAGTGTAGCAGTTGGCCTAATCGCAGTTTCTCTCACCCTGCAAACCCTCTTTCGCTTCAACTGAGCTGGCATCCTGAATAGGTCTGCTAAATTAAATCTTCGTGGCTCTTCGAACTTGCACAGCTAAAATAATGGGTGGTCATCCTGACTCACTATCATGTAGCTACAGAGTGCCAAAAAAAAAGGGATTGATGATTAAGTGCTCCTCGCCTTCTTTTTCCAAGAGATTTTTTTAAATTTCTCTTTGCTGACTCACTGCTTACAAAGTTCATGTGGTCTTAAAAATACTTACTACTAGAGCAAGCACTAGAGTCATACTCTTAATTTTCGCGTGGGCAGTGCTAGAGCCCTGCAACTGGCCAGCAGCGCACCGTGTGAGCCCCTCAGTAACATCATTTACTCTTGTTCTGAAAACTCTGTTTTGCTTGGATCGATGGGGTGATTTGGAATCCCTGAACTGACCCTAATGCTTTCAAACTTAAGAAATCTATTTTAATTAATGGTCTGTAGAAACTGATGTTTAATGAAGTAATGAGCCTGATTATACATTTAGTCTGGGAGTAAAATATCTCATGTGCAAAGACTTTATTAGGCTGACAACGGTACTCTCTTATTCTTTCTTGCAGCAGGGCTTCCTAATAGCCTCAAAGTCATTTTATTTCAATAATCATGTCTATGGTCAAAGCCAAAGCATAAAATAGATGCAAAATCTCTATTCTCTAAAAAGGGTACATGTGCATTGCTCTGCATCTCTGCTGTTTGATGTTAGGACAGCAGCATCGCTGTGGTGTGGCCCCATTAAGCTATTGCAGCAACTGCTAGTTTCTCTTCTTATGTAGCACTCATGGGTAGCTCAAGAAATATGGGCACTAGCCTTTTTACTGCAGAGAAAAAGTGTGTGCTCTGATTTTACTAATAGCAGTTTTATAAAACTAAATCTTCTATCCAAAATACAGATCCATGTACCTTTGTAAAGGCATTTTAGTGTAATGGTAGGTTGTTTTATTTTTCCTGCTTTTACACACTCTGTTTTCAATGACTTGCTGTCTTGAAAGATTGCATTGCAAATCTATGAAGCACAAAGGAAAACCTCCCTGCTTATTAAACACAGATATATCTGATGGTGGCTTCAGTATTATGGTTGCTTAGCCAATCCAGCTTAATCAGTAAACTTCAGTAGCCCAGAGCTTCAGAGCATTCTGATGGCTCTGAGCCACAATGTATCTGTGGTGACACTGTGCTTCCATGACTCATGGAGCCAAGGCTTCTGATGGCTAGTTCCTATTTCTACGTAAATAGCCATCTATATAAATGCACAATATTTATCTAAGAGTTTTGCAATTGCATGTTGTTTTGCACAGAAAGAGAGCAATCAAATGTTGTCCTTGTGCAGACTTATATTTATATTCATGATTGCAAGTGAACTGGACAGAAAGCTTTGAATCTCAGCTCTGGATTCTGCAGAAATGCGACCTGATTGTGTGTTGTTGCACTCCACAGCTCAGAAAGCAGACTTAATTCAGAGAGTTTAGCAGCCAGTGACTTATTGAGCAGTGGTTAAAAAGGCCTGCTGTCTTTTATCACCACAAATAGTGTGTTTGCACGTAGCAGTAATAACCTGTGATAGAAACAGTGCTGCTGGGTGGGCCATGCTGGGATGGCTGAGCTGCCACTAGAGGGCAAGGCAGATGCAACCCAAGTTGGCCATGCAGAGACCTTGGCCTCTGTGTCTTTCCCCTTCTACTCACGGGCTTACTTAGCCCCATGTTGAGTGAGCTCAAGTGTTTGGAACAGGCTCTACACTCTGCTATGCTTCACACTTGCCTCAAATTCAGTCCTAGTGTATTTCAAGTAACATATTTGGTGTTCTTTTTCCTGGTCATACATGTTCGAGTTTAAACATCTTTTCCCCATCAGGCAGAAGATTCTGCTGCAAAGGTTTTTATACACAGCATGGGTTATTATTTTGTGCAGGATTTTTCCTAGACTTTGTTCCAAGGTCTGATTCAGCAGAGGTAGCAGAAGGAATCACTCAGTCTCTGCATATCTCTGGGCTCAGTAATCCACATATGGTCTACAACATGCTAACCCTACAGTATTTCACAGCCCTTTTGCAAGGCATTTCTCTTTGCTGTGTAGAAAATTTATCACTGACTAGAAGCAATTACTGAAGGATAACCTGGTCTATTTTGAATCCCACAGGTTACCATTGAAGTGGTTGATGGCCCTGACACGGAGCCAGAAAAGGATCTGCAGAAGGAGAGCAGCAAACCTAACTGGCCAGTCCCATCACCTGACTGGAGAACCTGGTGGCAGAGGTCCTCCACCTTGACACGCATGAGTAGCGGGGACCAGGACTACAAGTATGACAGCACTACTGAAGACAGTAACTTCCTCAGTCCTCTTGGTGGGTGGGATAGTCATGCACCCAGTCACCGGACATTCGAGTCCAAGGAACAGCCAGAGTATGGTAAGTTTGCGTTCCTGGCCTCTTATGGGCATCTTGGGATTGTAAAACGAATTTGGGGGAAATGAGAATGGTGAGGCATCACTGGAAGCAGGCCAAACAAAACAGAATTTTTAAACATGTGGCTTTTGTTCATCAGCTTTTAAATACAAATCTGTGCAGATGCACAAGCCGTACTGTGGTAGCTACATTCCACTAGTAAGTCTATAATCTTGAAAATCATACCAGTTATCCCATAAGAGGACTTTTTTTTTTAAGTCATAAGTGTACTTTTTTGAAAAAAAACAAAGGAAGCAAGGTTCTATATTTATTTTTAGAGTAAGGATAAGTACAAATTTAGAATCATACTGTGGTTTGGGAACTAAAATAAAATTATTGGATAAATAAGCAAGATCTAAAACATGGTAGTATTTGATGGCTACACAAATAAGATGAATTATGTGTGAGGAGTGGCATATGCAACAGGAACATTGTGTATTTGAGTGTGTAATTCTGTTCCAGATGGGTCATGGTGAAAACAATTGTTTTCAGCTTGTTGTACAACATAGTTGCAGAAACTAGAAACAGAAAGGAGCTACATTTATATATACATTTATTGCATTTATACATTTATTCCAGTGGGCTGCAGCTATCCACACAGGAATGACTTAAGGGAGGTGAATTAGTGTGTGCACCGCAGGGATCACAGGTAGCTCACAACTTCTCAGCCTTAAGCTGTAAGTAAATACAGAAATTTTTCGTTAGAAAGAACAGGGTTTCAAAGCCACAATATTTTTCCCCTGACATTTCTGTTACATTACCTAGATACCACAGAGTGGCTGTCGTGTACTATTTCAGTCTTATTTTTCCCTGTTTCAGTTAACTTTTAAGTCCAAGAGCCATTTGAGAGAATCTTTTCATTGAATTGTGTATTGAAATGCATACATATGTATTAAATTTTGTGGCCAGAAGCTTGAAGTCTATCCCTTCTTTTTGCACCTGCGTTTATTTGTGGGCATGTTTTATTGCCAAGAATTCACATAATAGGTAGTTATTCATTTAGGTAAAATAAAATTGCTTTCACACACACACACACAAAAAAAGGTAGAAAATATATGAAAAATTACAAATAGAAAAATAGGACAGCTTTAGAGCCAGCTGAACATCTAACCCTGCTTGCTTTAAGAGGAGATACTGTGTATTTTATGGCAGAGTATAAACACTAGGTAGGTAGGCCTGAAAATTATCCTGGAGCTCTCTGCCGTACGCCAGAGCACCCTGTTTACTGCTCGCGACTCCTGGCCTTCGTTGCCTGCCACTGGTGTTGGCCAGGAGGATGTAGCAGCAGGTCTCCTCCACGCAGGGCTTTTCCACCGCTTCCAGACATGGAGTTGTTGATGTGTTTCACAGGCATCTCCCTGCTCAGCACAGTCCCACCTTGGTCACAGCAAAGGAGAACTGGGCCTAGGAGGAAAAGCACCTCAGGCCTCTGCCTCAGGGATCTCGCATTTAGGCAGCTTGTGGAGGGGGGGAAATATAACCTTCCCCTGTCCTGGCAGTAAATGCTTAATAGCATCCCACAGAATTGTCACCGTTCATTACATATGGCACAAATCAGGTTACGTGAGCTACAAACCCGCTCAGGACACCCTCAGACAGCGTGGCCAAGAGGCCATGCGCAGCACGGAGGGCCGCGCGGACAGGGATCCAGCCCTGTGTCCTGCATGCACGTGTGTGTTCAGCCTGAGCTACAGAGCAGGGCTGACTCGAGTCACTAACCCCCAGGTTCGCTTTGCTACTACTGCCGACTTAACCCAAATCAGCAGATTGTCCGCTGTGTCCATGCAGTCCATTAGGCATCTCCTAGCACTGGCAGAGAAACACCATTTCTCTGGCGTTTTGGTAACATTTGGTAACGTTTCTCTGGTGTTTTGGTAATGGACATTAAACCAGAGTTTCGACAGTGAGAGACAAACCTCTGGCCATTCCGGGGCAGCTGAAAGGTGGGAGGCCAGCGGGAATGCAGATAACCTGGCACTGGCCGCCTGGGACAAGGTGGCCTTTGCAAGGCAGGGTGTGCAACAGCTGGCAAAGGAGTCTTCCCCTAAGACAGTTAAACAGTGATGGTGGCATCGAGCCTCAAGAGTGAGAACGTGGCGTTGTGTGTCCTTGGCTGCCTACCGCTAAAGTCATGTCTCCTTTTCAGAAGGCTCCAAGTAAAGGATCAGAGTTGGTGATATTAATAATTCACGTGAATTACTACCAACTGCTTTTTGTTCTGAGTGCAAGTGGAATGTGCAGTTCCTTATATTCGTCGACACATATTCCTGTAATATCTGTTTTCTCTTTGAGGGACTGAAGAACAAAATTGCAGCGTTCACACATGATCCATCAGCCTCCTACAGTCCAGCATTCATTGTGTCTCCTAAATTAATTAACTGAATTCTGTTGTGCCATTGCTGTGTGTTTTGAAGAGGAGAAAAAGAAAACTTAATTTATCCCGTGCCCGATTAGTTTGTGGTCAGAAAGCATATCCCTGTATACTGGGAAATTATGTGCATCGATGTGTACTGTTAGTTCATGACCCAGCTTTGCAGCTGAGGATTCTCAGCTGCCAAAAGGTCAAAAGAGAAAGGAAATATTTTTTCAAATAATGTTGCACGCATTTCCCTGAGGAGAGTCAAGTGTGAAAACCATTTAAACAGCAGGCTTATGCCTGGCACTTAGCCCGAGCTTCAGGTAGAGACATCTGGATCCCATTCTTGTTTTGCCTTCTTAATAAAAAACACTACACAGTAGTTTGGGGCAGTAGGAGTTTTGTTTCTTCATTTCCTTCCCTATCTTTGTTCTTACCCAGATTACATGGATGGCGAGGGAGACTGGAGCCCGTGGTCCTTCTGCAGCGTCACCTGTGGCAGCGGCAGCCAGAAGCGGACGCGCTCCTGTGGCTACGCGTGCACCGCCACCGAGTCCCGCACCTGCGACCGGCCCAACTGCCCAGGTTTGCATTGCCCTCCGAGGTGGGATGGGGCAGAGGCCGCCCGCGCACAGAGCCGAGGTCGCGATTCTTCCGTGGCGATGTGGGAGCCTTGCTGCAGAGAGGCCTGCCGGCTCTCAGGGGCTTTTTTCAAAAGGCAGGTTCTTCTCCAGTAATAATATGATAACAGATGCAGCGTGCTGTCCCATGGGACTTAAAAGCTGAATACGGGCTTTTTTTAAATCAATGTCAGTCAGTTTTGCGCACAGTATGTTTGTATCCTGAAGAGGGTAATCCATTCTCATGGAATAAATTCACATTAATTTTAGAATTTTGCAATAGCCACACTGTGAAAACAGTGAGCTCAGAGCCTGCAGAGCAGGGAATGTGCATGGCACCATGTGTTGTGAGCAAAGTCTCCCCAGTTATATGGCTTTTCAATTTTGTGCCTAATATATAGATCTATTTTAAAACTCTGTTGTTGCTTTCATTGTCCGAGAAAGTCAAAGAAGTCTGGTGTTAAGTTTGAAACGCTGTCTCTGTTTCAAAGTCTGCTGCTTGATAGCTGGAAAATTATCAAACAGCAAGTTTGGTCCCTCAACATCTGCGCATAGTGGGAAGAAGGAAAGCAAATTTTTGTCTTGAATACATTTGGAAAATATGGCAAAGCGAAGGAGCCTTATTATTCCAACTCCCATCCATCTACGGGCATTGGCATTTAAATATAAGTAATGGTGGTGGCCCTAGCATCATCACATTTTTTGCTCAAAGCAGGCCTGAGCACTTGAACCTATATCATAAAAGATTTAAAGTCGCTATTGAAAACTTGTCTCCTGCTGTTCTTTAAATGCTGCTGAGTGTTTTGATTTAGGCAAGTTTGTAATACAGTGATGCGGTAGATCCTAAAATGCCCAAGCTGTGTGCATCCCATTCCTTCCCAAGATCAGAGAGAAATAAAAACGCATGCTGTGCTACGCATTTCACTGAGTTTGCGTGATGATTCAGAAAAGTAGAAATTCTGACTGAAGGTTAGATCTTTCTTTGGCAGAAAATGAAATGGCAGCAATGCCAGAGAGAGACTTAGGTACCATGGTAGGGCAAGTGGGCAGAAGTTTCTTGGTCACAGATAGGTGCATGTATCTATCGCAAGGCAGATGGCTGCTAGGCAGTTCAGGAAAGAAGCATTTCTGTATGTTCTCATACATCCTAAAACCTGAATAAGGGGTTAAAATGAGAAGAAACTCTGTAGCCCCCAGTTATATTCCCCAGTATTTATTACCAGCTAGTATCAATCAGTGGCAACTTGAAAGAACATATTATGTCATACAACAGACCCCCAACGATCAGCAAGCAAAATATATCCAGTCTCTGAGGCTGTGCTGACATTTTTTAAATGACAAGGGCAAAGCTCAGCTTCTACTGTTTGTAATTCCAGCGGTGAATTACTGCCTTGTAATGTCTTCTGGGGTATCTATTATTCTGCATCTACTGCTGAAGCTAAGGCAAAACCCTATGATAATTTTATTGGAAAGCTGCCTGAGGCTGTTTTGAAGCTTTGTAAGCCACTATTATGCCCCTTTTCAAGAGATCAGGAGAAAGTTCTTTGGAGAGGAGATGGAAGGCAAACAGGCTTCATTAGTAACCACATAGTTATCACATATTAAAGAGCTTTTTTTTTTTTTTTTTTTCTCTCTCTCTCTCTCTCTTTAGAGACCTTTAATTCATGGAATAAAACAAAACAGTGTTCAAATGTTTCTTTGAAGAGATGTTCATTTTAAAGCCTGGGCTTTAGCACAGGGTGGGAAATTTTAGGCTGGAAAGCAGACCAAACTGAAATAGCAATGAAAGGATGTTTACTTCAGCAGAGTCAATTAATATATTGCTTTTTTTTTTTTAGTAGAAAAATACCGCCACCACTAACATGTGCTTTTCTTAGGGATTGAAGATACCTTCAGGACGGCTGCCACGGAAGTGAGCTTACTCGCAGGAAGTGAAGATTTCAACGCTACTAAACTCTTTGAAGTTGGTAAGCAGCCTAATCAATCTTTCAGTAGTAGTGAAGATGCTTCCTTAGATTTTTCTTTGCCTTTCACTCAGATGTTGAACTCATCATTAGAAGTCTTAATAAAAACGACCATTTATTACCTTGCTTAAGCCTATGAGGTGGACCTCAGTTTGCTTCTGTCATAGAGTTTTTCCCCTCTTAGCTCTTAGTAAACATCTGTGCCCCATTTTCTTTATAAAATAGTGATTTGCTATCCTAGTTCAGAAAGGAGCTATCAGGCTACACACAAATGGAGAGAAAAATCAAACACTGTTTAGCATATTACTGAAATAGCCTCGAATGGATTATATAATTAAAGCATTTTAGATAAAACAGTCACATTAAAAACATACAATGCCTTTCATCAACATGAGTAGCATTTATATATATGTGTGTAAAGCTAGCCAAAGCAATTTTGTAGGGCATGACTTGATACTGATTTTCCGTAGATATCTATATAAAACTCTGCCCAAGCGATATTATGTTTTGATTTCATCCTCCAGGGACACTATAGTGTGGCAACTCTTAGATGCTGAACTACTAATTGGATAAATAATGTAATCCATCATGGTCATCCTGTGGTAGTAGAGCACAATAGTTGATGACAGCTGGGGCATGACTTTTTAAAGAGCTAGAAAAACAGGACACGAATCACTAAGTCAATATTTTGCAAGTATGTTTGCAGTAAAAGTTTTGGGACCAACTTTTGCCTTATTCCAGAGTCTTGTTAAACAGGTGTAGAGCAAGCCTATAGCATGATAGAGCTGCTTGAAACAGAGACATGTAATTGGACTCTGTCAAGACTCTTGCCAATAATAAAGTGTCAGGATTAAATATGCTACTAGTCTATAAATCTCTCCAATCCAAAGTATGGCTCTGGTGCCACTAAAGCCTACTAATATGCAGGCACAGTGATATTATGCCACATGTGCCCTTTCTGACTCTGAATCACTTCTGGTGGAATTTGTGAGATGCCATTAGTTAGCTAGTATCAATCTCCATGTTGAAACCACAGCTGCTTGAAATACCCCTTTGGGTGGACAGAGACTAAAATATATCAATTAGTTAAAAGACTGTATTAGGGATTCATAATGGAATTTAGAAAATACAGTCTTTTTTGAAATCTTGGTGTTTGTTTATAGTGTCACTAGGAACTTCACCTGAATTTGCTGTCTTAACAAGGCTGTGTGAATTAGGGATTTAAACACCAGACTGCCTGCAGATCGCAGTAACTTTAGGGAAAATGATTTGCCCATTTCTGCTGCTTGCAAACCCATTGCGTTGCCTGTTGCGCCTCAGTGGGATACCAGAAGATTTAACTGGAATTCACCAGGTACTAGGAATGCCAAAGCATCTTATTGGCATGGTACTGTAACACAATTCAGAGTGGCCCGGGGGCCACTTAAGGGGCCTTTAAAAAGCAGCCATATGTTTGATTTCTTTATCTGACAAAACAGCACATTAGCACATTGCAGGCAGTGAGACAAGCCTTTACTGCCTTTTCTTTCTTAAGCAAAGTGCTGGTGCTGAACAGTTACACCTTGCTCATTTGTTATCACTGGGCATGCAAAGGGGGTGCTGCATAATGTATCTTAAGTTTCCATTTCCTGCCTTTAAACAGATACTGATAGCTGTGAAAGATGGATGAGCTGCAAAAGTGAGTTCTTGAAGAAATACATGCACAAAGTGGTCAATGATCTTCCCAGCTGCCCATGTGCCTACCCCAGAGAAGTTGCATACAGCACTGCTGAAATCTATGATCGAGTTAAGCGGAAAAACTTTCGCTGGAAAGATGCAAGTGGTCCAAAGGAGAAACTGGAGATCTATAAGCCCACTGCACGATACTGCATCCGCTCCATGCTGTCTTTGGAAAGCACCACGCTTGCGGCGCAGCACTGCTGCTACGATGATAACATGCAGCTGATCACCAGAGGGAAAGGGGCAGGTACGCCCAACCTGATCAGCATTGAGTTCTCAGCAGAGCTCCATTACAAAGTGGACATTCTGCCATGGATTATATGCAAAGGGGACTGGAGCCGGTACAACGAAGCTCGGCCTCCCAACAACGGGCAGAAGTGTACAGAAAATCCTTCAGATGAAGACTACTACAAGCAATTTCAAGAAGCAAGGGAATACTGAGAAGATTTTCCTCCTCTTCAAACAAAAAAAGGCATTCATTTTTGGGTGCTAAAGAACTGCTAATGGCTGCTGCATTATCTCCTCAATAGGGGTTATCAGTTTCTTTCTAATGAATGTATATAGTTGTAATATAATACATAAATATTTTTCATAGTGTGTGTAATTTATATACATATCTCTCTATTTCATACACACCTATTTTTACACACAGACATACCTAAAACTTGTCCTAGTAGGACTTTATAATTCACTAATATTTGTTTAATAATGTGCATTTCATTTTATTCCCCATCTATAGTGTAAGTGTGAGGTGCGGGGAGCAGCTCACATCAGCATCAGGCCCAAGGGCCCAGTTGAGGGCACATATTTAAAAGCTATTATAAATAGTAGGACTGAAGAATGTCTTCTTCCGTATGGGAATGGTTTGTGAGATTATTGCACCTACAGCATCAGTTTACTCTATAATTGATTTCATGATTAGTCATATCTAAGAAAGGAAGCTGCTTTTTTGGAAGGGCAGTGGTTGAAAGCATTTCTTTCTTGGAATTCTTCCTGTTATCCCAAGCTCAGGTGCTTGCTCCCCATCTGGGCTAGGACTGCAGGGAGAGGGAGCTGTGGTTGAGTTTTCCTATGGAGCAGAAACAGTACCATGCAGTGATTCTGCACTGGCACCTTCCTGGAGACTGGCCAGACGCGGAGCTGCGGCGGGCAGGACTTCACTCCTACGTGGTGGGCAGGGACCTGCAAACTGAGCGTAAAGGTGAGGTGAGGCCAGAAAAGGAAACTATGCCAAAGGAAAAAAGAATCCAGGTATTTCCCAGTTGTTAATATGAAGAGTGTTTAGAGCTTTTTTTTTTTTTTTTTCTTTCTTTCAAGAAAAGAAAGAAGTTTATCTTGTTAAATATCAGGAAAAAGCAGAAGGTACATTCCTAAATATATCCCTGGGATAAAGCATGCAACCAGCCTTTTTTCCCTTTTTATCATATGCTGAGTGTACAGTATCCTATGGAAGAAGCTATTTTAAAGAAGCTGTCTGGGAGGAACTATTGGTGAGTTAAAGTTTCTTAATTTTTTTAAAAGCTAGCATTATTTTTGTAAAGTATTTATTAAATTCTAACAGCAAGTCACACGTGGAATATGTCTATAACATGAAAGGCTTCTGTAGATGGAACTTGATTGCAAAGATTAAGCTAGGCAAATGTTTTTCTTCCAAATTTCTATAAAGTACAAGTTTACGTACATGGTCCTGTAATTAAACAACTGATATCTGCATTTTCATGAAGGATAAAAATGACACCATGGGTAAATAAATACTTGCAGTTCCATCCTGTAAAAGCCTGTCTTGGTGGAAGTTGTTTTTTTCATCCAGAATGCCAGGGCTCAATGTCACTACAGAAATGTGACTTTTGGGATTCAGTGTGCTGACACAGATGTGCCCTGGAGGTGGAAGCTCACGCATTAGAAAAACGCTCTGCATTTCCAGAGAGATGAGATCTGGGAAAGAGCTACTGCACACACGCAACAGCAACTAGTCAACTGAGGAAACTTCAGCAGCTGGAAATTTTGGCCTCATCCTCAGGTCTTCCCAGATGCAGTCTCAGATGGGAGGCTGGGGGGGCGGTGGATATACTCTAGCGCTAGCTGGCAATAACAAAACATGGTTAGTTGAGCAAGAGGGTAAACATGGAGATCACCCCTTGACTTTTATAGAAAGCAGCTTATGTGAATTCTTGCAAGGTCATAAGAAGGAACCGCTGGCTGGCGGAAGGTAAATTGACAGCAGATGGATGAAAGGCATAAGCAATGCCAGGATCAGTCACTTAGTAGGGAAGACAGGTATTTTCTGCAATATGAGGTACAAAGCCCTGCTTTTTACTTCACTTAGCAATGTGAGAGGGAGCGAGTCTCATGTTTCTCCAGGAGGGCAATGAGCAGGCAGTCACCATTCCTGAAATATACAACATATTCCTCCATTTTGTAGATTAGTAAATTATGATACTGTTGAGAGATGTTACTACACCATTAATAAAAAAAAAAAACAAAGCACCAAGAAAAAAAAGTTATTCTAATAAATGAAATGGTGCACAAAGTTTCAGGCCTTGCAGCTCATACATTGCCAAAGCTAGGAGTGCTGAAGGAGCCTAAAGCCTCCGCAAGAGCAACCATGCTATTCTCAGGCTTGGTCCTGACTCACAGATCAAGAGCATACGTGCACTTCTGCTGTCTTAAGCAATAGACTATTAGAAACAAAATTACACTATTGTATAATATGCATTATGATTCATTCAGGGCTGGCCTGCTTTTCTCCTTTTCTTGATTTCTTTTTCTGACAACTAGAATTGCACCTGGAAGGTGCAACTGCACCTTCACAGCAGGCCTTAGCTAGGTATTGGCACTGCAGTTGCCAAATTTTGCTCAATCTCTTAAACATATAGCTATTCACATCTGAATAAAATCTAGGGAAGAGGCTGTGGTCCAATCTTACCAGGTACAGATGACTACTTAACGGCAGTTATTCTGTCTGTTAGTTATCATAGATCAGACATACTCAAAGACCGAAACAAAATTTTTAAATATGGGAAGGTTCATGGTCTCAATACTGTGACATCCTCAATGACTCTTCCCCAGCAGCCATCCTGCTTCCCAGAAGGAGACTTAAAAGTAGGAGCTTCACAGCAATTTCCTAATATCCCAGCAGTCCCACATGCCCATTTCACATCAGCAAAGCCAGTGTAAGGTGCTCGTAGCTTTTGGCCTCCAGCTGCTCTGTGCTGCCTCACTCTGGTGCCAATACAGCTGTGTAGCTGTGCAGTAAAATCAAGCCACTCGAATGATTCAGGGTATTTTTTAACCTTGATCCATTGACAGATCTAGATTTCAACACCCGAAGCTGGACAGGCTAGAAATTATTTTCTTGCTTTTCCTTCTCCAGCGGTGGTCTCTTCCAGCCCATCTTTTTTGAGGCAGCTTGGTGGCTCCCATGGCCCAGTGCCAAATGAAGCTCACAACAACCTCACAACTAGAGCGCAGTGGTGGGGTCAGACTGCAGCAGGAGGCTGAGTGGAGGGTGGGCACAGAGAAAATTGTAGCCCTCAAAAAGCAGCAAATAACCAGCCATGCAATCTCCATACTGAAGGTATCTCCGCAAGACCTGCCACAAATCCCGTGGATGGGAGGGGACGGGATGGGATGGTTCTCAGCCTGGCCAACACAGTTGCGTGACACCAAGGCCAAAGTGGCATCTCTGACCCCAGCTCTCCAGAGGAGCTGTAGGTCCTCACAGACTGATCCTGGCTTTTCCATCAGGGGAACACCTCAGCACCACTAGACACAGGTTGGAGGAAGCTCACAGACAGCCTGCCAGCCCAGCGGCGGAGCTTTAGATAGCACAGGGGTAAGAGCACCAGGAGCAGCAGCAGAACATGCATGACGCCTGGAGAGCAGCACAGAGCTCCTCACACCCAGAGGGAGGGAGAAGCTGCCTCCCTGGCTGCAGAGGCCGCTGCCTCACAGCGTGGGCCAGCAGTCGGTGGGGAGCAGGCCAGGGCGCAGCTCTTCCCCCACAGCGGCATGAGCGCGCGCTGCGCCTGGCTGCGCGCCCTCGCCGTGACAGCTGAGGGAGCCCGCGCTCCCGGCCACCCGCTTCCACCCCCGTTCCCCTTGTAACTCGCAGTGGAAAAATGTGTGGGCAGTTTCCATCGTGCCTGTGCCTCTTCGCCCAAATTAGGGGGTTGGCTAAGAAATGACTGGCTTCGTATTTCATATAAAAGACACACACATGCGCATATTTATATGGCCATCCATACATGTGTGTAGATTAATTTGGGATATCCCTAGTCACGCGCTCCACAGCAGGAGCTTGCAGAGCTCCGGCTCGGCTGGAGCAGCCCACCGGAGCGGCGCGTCCTTTGGCCCACATAGAGACACGAGGCAATTTCTGCTCTTGGAACCAGGGAGAGGAGGAGCGGGAAGTTGACCTGGCAGCAACCAGCCTGACTCTGCCCTTCACTTTCTGAGTAGCAGGTTTATGCATTTCCCCTTTCGGGTGCACTGCTTAAGCCGCCTACGCCTTTCATGACTGTGCTAATTTTCTATCAGCTTAGGGAGTTATAAATTTTTCCTGTATATGTGCTTGACCACAAGATGAGAAGTGTGGGGGGGATGATTTTTAAGCACACAGAGAAGCTTTTCATGCCTTAAAAAGCACAATTAATAAGGGATCCAGAATGTTTTTCTGGAAGTGATAGCAATATTACACGGGCCAAATCGGCCAAACCTAACAAGGCTAAGTGTGGGTGGCTCTAGCTTTCAAAGGAAGGCTTAGATAATATTTCCTTCGTAAAGCTGGGCAAACAACATTACGTGTGTTAAATGTCACTCTGCTATTTTTAATGGGCCTGACCAATACTTTGCTTGGAGTCAAGGCGCACTTTGCTCCATTGATTTGAGGAAGGCTCTGGTGGGTCCCCAATGCCTGCAGAAGGCAGATGGCTCCCAGTGCTGCTGGGGTGACCCACCTCCCTTCCTCAAAGCTCGGGCTCCCAAGGCATCACCTCTCCAAGGAGGAGGCTGTGAGGAGTAAAGCCAGTCCTGAGACAGATAACAGAAGCAGAACAGCAGAGGCAGTGCCCGCCTCTGTGGCTGGGGCTCTCTACGCTTTCCCTCAATGTGCATGATGCTGGAATTACTGTAAAGGGGAGAAAAAGTTGCCGAGCATTTGTGTCCCAAACAACAGGCCCTGCGGTCTCATGCTTGCAGAGGCCACAGCACAGCGGTGGCTGTGCCACAGCTTTTAGCTGTCTGCAAGAGGTTGATGGTAGTGGTTAACCTTGACCAATAACTATGCCTTGCATTACCCATAGTCGCATGGCCATCAGTGTTCCTGTAATTTAATGTGGCTTTTGCTTTGAAAGGCACACACACCTTTTTTCTTGCGTGCATATGAAAAGGCATTGTGTTGCCCTGACCTATCCTGAGACACTTCTCAAGCCAGGTTTTTATTTTTATGGAGCGGGACTAAACCAGACCTCCTGCATGAAGACAGACCATTTGTCTCCCCTGGATCAGCTTCAAAATGAGGAGAGTGCACCATACATATGGGATCTCTTTCTGGAGTAAGATCGCATGGCTTGAGCAAAGAAAAAAGAAGAAAAGAGCAAAACCCACACAAATCAGGAAGGCATCAGGTAAAACTTTTAACTAAAAATACATCTTCTTCCCAAATGGACACCGATGATCTTTTGTATAATTAGAGAGTCTACAGGAAGCTAGA